AACGATCTCGTTGGCCGGGCCTCTCGTTACTGGGTTGACGAAGTTCGGAGTCGGCCAACTGAGAATGACTTCTACGGGCGGGATTCTCATATCGTAGATGGCGTGATCATCATGGAGAACCGTGAGTTGGCCACGACTGCTTAGAAGTGGGAGAGTAGGAGAGGTTTGGGGACAGTCTCCTCCTTATTCCTTCCCTACGCGGCGTCCAAGGTGGTCCGAGTACACGCGGGGACGAAGAGGACACTGGACGAGGGGGGATGGGCAAATCGAATGGAAGGGCAAAAAGACGTTTTTCCAGCGGTGGTGACCGTGCTTGAGCCTAATCAACGGATGAAGGCAATGGCAAAGCATAACTCTGCTTGTGACATCAAGATGGTGATGCGAGCCCCAGCCAATATATCCTTTCGGTCTCGATGGTGGCCATCCCATCCCTGGCACGGCACTGCGGGGAGAAGGGGGGGGGGGGAGTGGTGCGAGGAGTGAGTGTTGGCGAGACATTCTCAAGGCCGCACTGACGGCTTGAACCGGGGTTCTCATGAGGAACTGGTGGTGTCGTGTCGTGTTGTCTCTCTCAGTGTCCATTGGATATCCACGGGGCGATGCTGAAAAGGGAATAACGGATGCTACTCCGTTGATCCCACGGCACCTTGGCCGGTTGCAAGTCTGTGTGAGAGAAGCCGGAAAGGCAGTAGACTTCGGAGCCTTGCTTCTTTGCGTAAGTCATCTTCTGCGGCACCGTCGCATCGCTCCTCAAAAGCCGTTGTGGACGAGAACATCTCCCAGCCCTATTGTTGGTTTTGCAGCTGGGGTGACAAGTCCGTTTCTCCGGCTGAGGAGGCTCAACAGCAGACTAGGCCGTTTGACGCGGCAGACTCAGGCTTAGAGACCGGGATTGTTTGCCGCTAACACAGCGGAAGCAGTTTGAAGCTACCGAGACAGCTTTCACTCCTGGGTGTGAACAGTGTCAGAATCCATTCATGATCGTCGGCATTATGCGCCATGCCTGCGATCATGAGCATGACATGTCAAGGGAGGCTGTCAGGTTATTTGACAGACGGGTTGGCCGCTGGCAGCTTCATTCGAGCGGTAAGGTACTCGTTGGCGAGAGCATTCAAACTCAGAAACCGGCCCTGGTCTGAATATCATCATGATGGTGGAGGTGGGCGGCCGGTGGACGCAGCGGAAAGCAGGCTCAAGGCGGGGAAGACAACTTGTTCCTGGATGAAGATCAGAAATGTTTGCATCCAGGATCTGGATTGGCGAGTTGTCTTCGAAGCCGCGCCGCCCTCTCGTTTCTCTTTGCTCACTGTAGTAGAGAACTGTTTGGAGCTTGGCAGGACGCACGGGTTTTGGGTTCGTTATGGCGCATTGACGACCGGGCGAGGGCATGATAAAACCGTACGTGTCGGAGGGTGTTGAACGCCATAGGCCCAACTCGACTTTCGCCTATTCGACCTCGACATCCTGGACAGGTCTCTCAATACGGCTAGAGGCAGGCCATCGTGTTCCCAGAGGCTATGCTGCAAGGCCCCCGTGATGCGGGCGCTCTCTGATATGATAGTCTTGGCCTGTCAGGTTCCGGTCCCTATCACATCGGATCTGGGCGTTCCCATGACTGGTGGCGCCCCAATGCTACCTTGTCTAACGAACGGTGAATGCCAGGGTACGCATGTCATCAAGCGAAGAGGCGGCTCCATATGCAAGCGGATGCAATAGGATGGCGTACATTGGCGTGAAGTCGTTAGCTGGCAAGGAGTTGACAGCAGGTGTTGGTTGGAAGTTGTGGCTTCCATTGGGTTCTTGAGCGATGACATGCCGACCCACACCAAGAATGATCTTAGTCATCAGCCAGACGACACCTCCCAAGTCAGTCTTAGGAACTCTTCCCTCCCTCTCTCGACCGATTTCAACGACTCCCCTACCCTGCGCTTCTGGGTTCGTCGATCTCGCCACATTCAATGGAACGAACTGGTACTGTTATCTGGATGTCGTATTGCTTCTTCTTGCTGCCACCACGCGCGATAGCTGGGTGGCCAGATTGCTATTTCTGAGCCGTTTCCGAACCACCCCCCGTATGCTGCTGTTTCAACCGGCACATGATGATTGGGGCCCTGGAAGGCCGGCAGCGAATGATGTCGCGAGCGCACAGCTCGGTCCCGGTGTTCCTGTCACTAGCGGACAACACCGGCAAAGAAGAAAAACGTCTTCAGCCCTCTCTTCCTCCGGCCCGTCGAGAGCAACCCTACGTGAAGCCAAGACCCCCGGCCTGGATTATGGCTGATGGAGATGCGATTGGGCCCTGAGATCAGGCTGGGGCTGTCAACCCCACGTGTGTCCGGCCTGCCATCAGCTGCGCCTCCCGGAGGCTACCCCTTACGTGACCGACTCAATCATAACGACACCCGACAAGGGTTCACTCATACCGCCTAGGGTGCTCACCTGTTGTGCGCGGAAACGAGTAGATGACGGATTCTAGACGACACTGGACTTCTAGAATGCCCAGGCGTCTCGTATGACAGATTGTGAGAGGACAATGTGTTTCTGACGGGGACTCGCGATATTCATGCCGCCTAGCGCGTTCTCGTGAAACATCGGAAGCATGCTGGAGAGGATGACTCTTGGCAAGACCATCAAACTTCAAGTACAGTGTGCTCTTTGCTATGGCTGGCTTAATCTTGCACCTTACCATATGCCGTCAGAGGCCACCACTCTGGCCTGGACTCGTCTAATTCCCAGAAGCTGTCTATCTCTTCGACCGCGTGTTATCGGTCCTTTTGCGCCTTGCTGCATCTAGTAGAGCTGATAATGGTTTCACCGTAATGGAAGAGTCCTGTCGTTAACTCATGATGGCACGGAACATCTCAAGGGATGTTGCCGGCACAGCAACAGAAGGAGGAAGCGAGGACATATGCCGAAGCTAGCACTAGACGGAGGCTGAGGGAGGAGGTTCATGTTAGAGAGCCTGATACGGGATATATGGACCCGTTACGGAGATCGGTGATTGATTTACACGGCGTTAGACCTGGAAATCGTCTCGTCCATCAGCAAACTCCACGTCAATCCTGCTTCGCGACTGTGCCAATGAACATGAACGCTGCATTACTAGCAGCACTGATCGCTTGCTCGCGTAGACATCAGAAGAGACAGGGTAGGAGGGCTATGTTGGTCTAACGAGTAATGGAAGACTTCCTTCTCATGGAGTTCCTTTTTAGTACGACGCAATCGAATGCGACGATGTCTTACAGCAGAGACGGTTTTGATCACGACTCCGCGGAGTCATCACGACGTTGCGAGGATCTGGCCAGGTCCGAGCTGAAGTAGTCCTGGCTAGATGAAGGGATTCTCGATGAGCGCGACGCAAGGAAGTTGAGCACGACCAATTTCACAGACCGATCATGCTCCCTTGCCAAGTTTTCTCCCCTCTCACATCAGGATGCCATCCGGAAACGAAGATCATAAGTCAGGGCAAGTCGACCAAGGCGATCCGTGCTCTGCTCGGGATGCTGCATGGATAAGACAATCAAATTTGAAGATTTTGTCGATTGGCGACCTGGACTGGGGCTGCGGCTACGGATCATGAATTTGGCATAAGACGAGACACTGACTAGGATTCATCGAATCGCCTGGCCCAGCGCTCTTGGATCCGGTTGAATCGTGATTGTGAAATATCTGAGACGGCATCGCGTAGCTTTGCTTTTGATGCCCCGGACTAAAGACGCCAGACTCGCGGTTTCGGGACAGCCAAGAGATTGGGGTGCTTTGACAGCAACGGCCTATGCGTGGAACTAGTAATTATTATTCGTTTTCTGGTGAGAAGCTAAACCACCACAGGCTTGAAGAGACGAAGGGATGGCGAGTGCCGAGATTAAGGAGATATCACTATTGAGACAATATACAGAGCATGCGTTCTCAGGCTTCAGTCAACTTCAGTCTAGACTTGCCATACAATGTATTTCTCACCAAACGAAGCAAAGCAAGTAAGCTTGCTGCCCGGGCATCGTGAGCCTGAGTGATTGTTAAAGAATTGTCATTGGCGAGCCGACATTGCGTCCAACCGAGGAGATGTCTGCCACTTTGCTTTGCCGGGGCTAATGAGAGACGGAGCTCAGGTAGCTGTGAATTCGGAAGAAACAGGGTTCGTGAACAGGTTGGCCGAGGTCCTTACCTCACAGAAACCTGGCGGATGCATCGTTGGCTCTTCTGGTGCAACACTAATGCCTCAATCGACGCAAATTCACTGAAGGGGACCAGGTATGAGGTCGCCAACTCTCAAGTCGTTCATGAAGCAGCATGTCTGGCTGGCCCTTGCTTTGCACTGACGGGTCGTCAATCCGTTGTCCAGACTGAACTACACACTATCTTTGCTGACTTATGTAGTCAAGGTAGCTGTCGTTCTATGCTACTGTTCACCTGGGAGCTAGCGGGCATCCGATTGGTTTATCAAATGAAAGACTCGGCGACCCAGGGAATGAAAGGAAGACAACGGTCCGACTGGGCACGAAAACTGTTGAGGGGCGGTCGATGTTGGAGGATGGTCTCAGCCCACGGCAGACGGACGCTCAGGTCACTTGGGCAACTTTGGATGCTGCAGTGAGGTTGAGTGCGGGGCAGCTGCAGGCTCCGGGCCAGACCGGGGCCGCTGACGACCCCACCAGAACTGCTGATTGTGTGCTGCCAACCTGCTGCTGTTGCTGCTATGGGCTCGGCCTGCCAGCGGCGGCACTCTGGCGGCACTCTCGAGGTGGGCAGCCGTGGTACCAGTTGCCCCTCCTGCGCAGCCCCTCTGCCCCTCCATGAGACAAGCGCAGCCCACCTTGTACTGGAGCTTTTGACGTGACCCAACCCTGAGGTCTTTTCCATGACTACGAAGCTCTCCGGATCTATCCTGCGTCATTTACACCCAAGTCTTTGATCTGATCTTTCACTCCTGACGGAAACTCAGACGTATCCAATCCTACCGAACCTCCCACGTATTACCAAATCACCATCAATTGCCCAACATGGCTCGCAAGTTCTTCGTCGGCGGCAACTTCAAGATGTAAGTTTTGTCCCATTGGCGGGGTCGACGATCTCTGCACCACCCTACCAGAGAGGGGCAGCCTGGAAGCTGCGGCTTCAGCCAAGAACATCGTGAGACTAATGGCCATCAACCTCGCAGGAACGGATCTATTTCCGCCATCAAGGAGATTGTCCAGAACCTGAACAACGCTACCCTCGACTCCAACACCGGTACGTGCCATGCTTTTGCGATCTAGTCCCACCATTGAGCTCCTCTGACACTCTGCAGAGGTCGTCGTCTCCCCTCCTGCAATCTACCTCCAGCTCGTCCGCGACCAGCTCCGCAAGGACGTCGAGGTTGCCGCCCAGAACGTCTTCGACAAGCCCAACGGTGCCTTCACCGGCGAGATCAGCGTCTCCCAGCTCAAGGATAGCAACATCAACTGGGCCATCCTCGGCCACTCTGAGCGCCGCACCATCCTCCGCGAGTCCGACGAGGTCGTTGCGTCCAAGACCAAGTACGCCACCGAGAACGGCGTCGGCGCCATCTGGTGCTGCGGTGAGAGCCTCGAGGAGCGCGAGGCCGGCACCACCGTTGAGGTCGTCAGCAAGCAGCTTGCTGCCCTCAAGGCCGCCATCTCCGACTGGTCCAAGGTCGTCATTGCCTACGAGCCCATCTGGGCCATCGGCACCGGCAAGGTCGCCACCAACGACCAGGCCCAGGAGGTCCACGCCGCCATCCGCGCCTGGCTCAAGAAGGAGGTCAGCGACAAGGTCGCCGACGAGACCCGCATCCTCTACGGCGGCAGTGTCAACGAGAAGAACTGCAAGGACCTCGCCAAGGAGAAGGACATTGACGGTTTCTTGGTTGGCGGTGCCTCCCTGAAGCCTGGCTGTGAGTATTTTCGATACACCGTTATCATGTGCAGACAGCTAACATGGTGCAGTCGTCGACATTGTCAACGCCAAGCAGTGAACAAACCAGATTACAAACTTGATGCTGATGACCTAAAATCAGGCCGTGATGGGCCGGGATAGACCTAGGATGACCCCAAGTGACAATTCGTAGTCGCCAACTCCTAGGGCCGTAGATTTGAACAAAAAAGAATTATACCCCCAATCTTCTGACGGTGGTTGGACCTAGTGAAATATGTGTGATTCTTGAATTTTGAGTGCTTAAAGGGGTACTCTTTGCCCTCCCTGATGGGTCAATGTATGGTACACGCGGCAAAGCTACCGCTTTCGTCCTGTACACGCCTACTTCCTTTCGTAATTTTACACGTTTTTCCAAATCGATACGCTCATGCCTCTCATATTTATACAGCCATGCCATTTCCGTGGTAAGGACTCCAGACACCTCTGACACTGGGGTTGATACTGTTGACCGGCTTGTTGACTCTCTTCAGCTTCTCTCCGTTGGCATCGCGCAGAAGTTCAGCCTTCTTCAAAATCTCGATTGGCTCCATATTCCGAACGCAAATAGCCTTCTCGCGGCCGTTGATGTAGTGGCCAACAATGATGGGATGTTTCGACGGGCGGGGCGACACGGTGAACTCGACTTGGGGGTTGGCGGCGGCGAACTTGGGAAGTTGAGACTTGATGAAGCCACTGGTTGGTGATTAGCAATGTTCTCTATACTCTCATTCCGAGGGCGGATTGGCCTACTTCATTCCCTTGGAGCTGCCGGCCCAGTCACAGTAGTGAAAGTCCAGCTTCTTGCACTGGAGGATGAAAGAGCCGAGGCCGTTCTGTGAGGGCGTCAGCAATGTATCACAGCACTCCGGTCTTCAAATAAACTTACACGGCCGGTAGACACCGTCTTCAATGCTCTGATCGTCATGTTATCCTGCTTGGCGCACAGAATCCGATTCGCAGTCTGGATCACGAGAGGCTCCTTTCCAGGGACGGGGAAATTTCTTAGCGCGAAAATGTAGGATGCAGCCTGAGGTGACAGCTTCCGGAGGTACGTACCTTGCAGTGGAAGCTCTGCGACCAGGATGACTCGGCTGAACCGCGGCGATTGGCCAAAGGCAGGCTGCACCACAAACTTTCCCATGCTCGTGTCAATTTCCTCTACCTGACGACGCGCCTGCTCCCTTTCCCAATCCCGACATCCCACCAAGCTCCGTCGATGCATCATTAGCTACGGCGCGACGCATCCCATCCGAGCCTACAAATATTTCTTCAATCGGGTATTTGACGAAGAGCAACTACAGCGATGACGGATAAGCTCCCTCCCAACCTGTTGGCGCTCTTCGCGCCGCGCCCTCCTCTGCGATGGGTTGCGCCTCCCGACCATGCGCCCGAGGCCCGACGAACCCTCCCCGTCTCTGGACTCGCTGAGTTCCTTCCCGCCCTTCAGCAATACAAGGAGGAGGACGACTACAAGCCGACGGAAAGTTGGCTTCAGATGCGCGACCGCAAGAAGCTCGAGAAGCAGGCAGCTGTTGAGAAGCTCAAGACTGAGGGGCCGAAGGACTGTTAGTTCCCCCAGTCTCCATTCATCGAGAGTCTATGCTGATGTTTTTACAATCTAGTCAAGCCGCACGAGGATCCCAACATTCGTGGCGACGCTTTCAAGACGCTCATTGTTGCGCGACTCTCGTACGAGGCAAATGAGCAAGACCTTGAGAGAGAGTTTGGTCGTTTTGGCCCTATTGAGCGCGTATGTACTCCCCAAATACCATTGCATACTCCGAATCGAGCTAACATAACCGTGCAGATCCGCATCATCACTGACACGCATGCCCATGAGAGACCCAAGAAGAAAAAGAAGCCCCACCGAGGATACGCTTTTGTAGTATTTGAACGAGAGAAAGACATGAGAGGTAATACCGCCGAACCCACCCCCTCCGACAAGACTCGGCTTGTCGGCCAGTCGTTCCCCTTCAGGCGCGCGGCCCTCAGGCTTGCCCGCGTTCTGCACTGCACACCGAGATCTGTGGCCCTCAAGCTTGCCCGTCTCAAATCTTGTTTTTCCTTCTTTTTACCCAGTCACGATGCAAAGGTATGATATCGTCAAGGTTTTACTGACACACGCGCCTTGGCGCACTGGTGAGTAGCTGCTCTAGATGCCTGCGATGGTATTCGAATCAAAGACCGACGTATCAAGGTAGACGTCGAAAGAGGCCGCACCGTCAAGGGCTGGGTACCCCGCCGATTTGGCGGTGGTCTCGGTGGCAGAGGTTACACCAAGGCTCTTCCTGCCCGTCCCATGGGTGGCGGACCCGGTGGCAACTTTGGCGGTGGCTTCCGAGGCGGTTTCCGTGGCGGCTTCGAGGGAGGTCGCGGACGTGGAGGCTTCAGGGGAGGTGGTGGTGGTTTCGGTGGCCGTGGTGGCTTCCGCGGCGGCGGCGACTTCGGCTCCAGGGGTGGTGACCGCGGACCGAACGGATACGGCGCACCCAGAGACGCCCCTTCAGGACCTGGTCGCGGCTTCGGAGGCGATCGTGGTGACCGAGGCGACCGCAGCTTCTCCGGTGGTGGGTATGACCGTGGTGGTGGCCGCTCATATGACGACAGATCTGGTGGTGGTGGTGGTGGTGGTGGCGGCGGCGGCGGCGGCGGCTACCGCGATGGAGGCCGCTTCGGTGATCGGGACCGTGACGGTGGCCGACGGACTGGAAGCAACATGGAACCCATCAGGCCTAGAGGGGAAGGTGGGTATCGCGATCGTGGTGACCGCGGAGATCGAGGCGACAGAGAGGACCGGGACCGCGGCCGAGACAGAGACAGAGATTACGACCGACCCCGCGATGACGACAGTAGAAAACGCGGCTACGAAGGCGGTGGCTACGAGGATCCTCGCAAGTTGCGTCGTTACTGACGAGACACCTAGTGTCTTGCGGTGGGTGACGATTAGCTCGTCTCTTCTTTCAGTCTCTTTTCTTCTTCCCCTTCTCTCTCGAGGGTAAGCAGAAGGTTTCAAGCGCGAATTCCAAGTACCTCCATATTCGGATCAAAGAAAGCTCGGACAAAGCTCGAATACAAGCTTGGGGCAAGTATACGCAAATACCAGGCACGCCAGTGTTTACAACAAAGCATCACGCGGACCACCGACTTCCAAAGAACTGATTCAGCATCTTGTTGAAGGTAAACTTCGTCACGTGCATACGCAATCTGCCCAGGCTACGACTGCCGTAACAAGAAATCCCGACAATGGCTCGATGCTGCAGGTAAGGTCAGAGGTAAGGGACTCTGTGCCTACTGACCTGGAGCTTAGTGAAGGAGGATTCGCATGGGAAATCAATCAAAAGGATGGGGTAAATCCACATGTACCACGTTATAATTACTTGTACGAATAGGTGAGGACTTGAAGTTTCTTACGCAGACAGATTCAACGTTGTATCCGTACTTTAGCTTCCTATCATCCGGCTGGTCGAGTTGTATCTAGTCATTGCCGAGAGCGCATGTCCTCGTCCCAGAAGTGCCATGTGTAAAAGATGCTGCCTCCTTGATAGAGGAAAAAAAGAAACAAAGGGACAGCTTAACGAAAGATTGTCTCGAACTCGGGACCTCCTGAAATCTTGACAGTATTCCATCCGTTGTACAGGTACCTCTGCGCGTGAGCGTGTCACGGCATAAACATCGGCAGGCACCAAAACTTGTATGACGAGAAGTGTCCGAAAAACGAACGACCAATGGCATTATGTAGAGCCAGCCCGGCCTGCCCCTTGCCAATCTCAATGGCAAAGGACAGTTAAACCGTTCGGCTATCGACTACAACGGATGATGCTCATTAAGGAAGCACTGCACTTCTGCTCCCTATCAAGGTTCGGCGTCCATCCACACAATTTTTTTTTTTTTTTTTTTTTTTTGGCTTCCATGCCATTTCACACCTGCAATAACGAGAGAAATTATTTATGGAAGAGATTGATGCTTTTGACGCATGACTTTTTTCAAGAAATAATAATCTAGTAAAACCCCCACCCGTAAAACGCCGTGAAAATTGTTTTTGTTGGTCCCACCCTTTCGCAATCCATGATGGTATCAAGCCTACATGAGGAAAGCAATCATCAAAAGTCTAGAAGCTTTTTTGTTCTCTTGTTTTTTTTAACGTTTGTTGATCATAACATTTTCGCTTTTAGTCGCTCTCGACCTCGACGCCGTCCATGGCGTTGGGGTTCACTTCGGTCACCTCGCCTGAGGCGGAGCTCCAGTATCTGCCAACGTATGTCAGTACTCAACAGTCTTTGATCTGTAGGGGGAACTCAAATCCAAGAGGAACGGAAAAAACTTACGCAAGAACCTTGACCTTGAACTCGCTCAAGCAAATTCCAAACAGCTTCAACAGCCTCGTCTGCCGACTATCGAGCACATCGCCCTCCTTGCAGACGGTGTAGCCCTCACCCTCGCCAGAATCGTCGCCGCCGAGACAGACGCGGCCCTTGACCATGCGCGTGGGCATGCCGAGACGTCGCAGCTCTGGCTCGATGCTGTGCTCCATGGGGACGTCGTGCTCGGCGGGGACCTCGCCACCCGTGGCGTAGACGACGCCGGCGGGGATGACGAACTCGCGGGTGGCGACGGTTCCCGCGCGCGCAAAGTCGACGGGGGAGACGCCGTCAAAGTACTCGAGGATGGAGGCCGGGTCGCGGTTGGTGAAGATGAGGCCGACGGTGCCGGCGAGGAAGGGGGTGAGGCGCTCGATGCCGTCTGCGACGGCGGAGGAGGGGTCTTGGCCTAAGGCCTTGGCCATGAGTTTTGTCTTGCCGAAGAAGAGTCTGCAAAGGTGGCGTGGTAGGTTAGCTTGGTGTTCGGTTCTCATGCTTCTCCGCCTAGGTCATGGTGCATGAACCACAGGTGCGGTATCACGGGTTGGTGAGGAAGATGTAAAAAGACGGACCTGCAGTCGTTGAGCTCGTGGCGGACCTCCTTGAGGTAGTTGTTGCGCATATTGTTGACGCCAAAGACGAAGCAGTGCTGGTACTGCGGCACCGACTCGCGAATGTTGGAAAAGAGCTTGTCCTTTTGCTCGCGCGTCTTCTTGTTCACCTGGGTCAGGTTGACCACTCTGTTGCGCTTTGACTTGGGCATCTTGGCGGTTTGTGCTGGGTTGTCGACTTCAATTAAACAATTGCCAAAATGTTTTCCTTGTTCGGTTTTTCCTGATCGTTGCAGGACGGCTCGGCGAGGTAATTCGTCGATATCCGGAGGGTGGTTGGTGGGAATCGGCGCAAGTCAAGTCGTCGAGGTTCCGCGGTGCACCTAACAATAGGAAATATTTCTGGCCGACCGCCTTTGGCACAAAATTTCCCAAAATTTTGGCGCCAGGTGCAAGAGGGACCACCGCCGCCGCAACTTTTTTTTTGAACCCCGCAATGCGCTAGGTGGAACGATTATCCGCAGGGTCTCGACAGGGGTTCATCATCTATCACCGAGCTCACCGAGGATGGATCAAGTGGTCAGTGCACCGGTGAAGGCAGATAGGCATTCCAGATTAGAGCCAACTCAAATTGCATTGTTCTCATGAAAACGCCGGTTTCCTAACCATCCGGCGTCTCTTTCATTCATTTCATGCATGTATATGAACAAACCGATCATGCCATCTACTTGTCTTACCAGTGTGCTCTTGCGCCCTGGGTACGAACGAGTCCCTTTCGCTATGCCAACTACCCCTCTACGCCAAGTACGTGTAAGTGTTGCCCTCCCGTTCCAAGTAATCCTTGTCAATCAGGCTGTTGAAAGGGTTAGCAACGTTCCATCAATTACATGGAAAAAAACTCACTTTTCTATTTCCTTCTTGATTTGCGCCGCATCGACCGCGCCTCGGTTCTTGGTCAGGTTGATCACCTCCGCAACCAGCTCGCCGTGGCTCATCTCCTTGCGACTCTTCATGATGCGCACAATAGCTGCTTGCGTCTCGAATCGTCTGTCCTGGGCTATACGCTCGTGTGTCGCCTTGTTCTCTTCCTTGGTCTCTTTGAGCTGAATCTGGTTGATCTTGACTCGGATCTTTGGGTGTGTAAATGCCTTGTTAATCGTGAACGTGTCCGTCGGGTTGACGTCCCTCCCCTTGGGACTCTTTGTAAGCACGCGAACCTGACCGCAGGCGAGAGATTGCAATGTTCGGTTCAGCTCTTCTCCTTGCAGGTTTGTCGAGCGAGCGATCTGTTCGTAGCCGAGGAAGCCCTCGATGCCGACCTCATTGAAGAGAACGAGGATGATGGCTTGGTACGCGCTGACGAGAAGCTCCTTTGTACCCTTGGGGAACTTTGCCTTGACCGTGCAATGCGCCAGTGCGTGCTTCCAGTTGAGCAGTCGGCCCGTGTGCTTGTTCTTGTAGTACTGGTCGAATCGCTCAATCTGCTTGGCAACATCGTCTGGCAAGTGAACCTTGACGTCGGGATACGTTGGCCAGGCCGCCTGTGACAGGATCATTACCGACAGATCGACAGGGGCTCTATCCACGCCGGTGCCTTCCGACCACTGCTTGTAGGCTTCCATTTCCTCCTTGGCCACCTCGACGTCCTTAAACATCTGCTCTAGGTTATGAGTAAAGTTCATACCACACTCCTCGCGGAGCTTCCGCAGCATGTTCCGCTCGGCATCCTGACTAGCGCTTCTACCCATGAGCAGGCGTCTAGCCAAGTCTTTCTTGTAGAACGCTTCGAACGCGTCCTTGCCTTCAATGAAACGGAAGAGCTCTAGGGCCTGGTCCAATTGACGGTCGAGCTCAGCGTCTTCGTCGCCGGCGCTAGCTACGCCGCTCTGCTCCGCCGCAGCTCGGTCAATGTTATCTGAAAGAAGTGTTTTCGGCAAAGCCTTGATTCCACCGCGAAGGAGCATGTCGACGTACTTGGCGATCATCTCGCCGACCTTGGATGTTCCGGAGCTCCATGTCGTTGCAATGCTGCGATCATTCATGAAGTCTCCAAAGGCGTTCCTGAGCTCGTTGACAAAGTCTTGGTCGCCGCCGTAGGCGTCGCGCACGATGAGGCTTAGTGACCTCTTAAGTTCAAGAAGTCTCTGGACCATGTCATCACCACGTTCCTTGTCAGCAACAATAGCAGCGCCCGTCTTTTTGATATATGTGCTCCAGGGCTGTTTGAGCTTCTTCTGGATATCGGAGAGTCGCAACAAATCATACAGGGCCTTCATGGAGTCCACCTCATGATCGGAGAGGAGCTTGGAAAGACTCTCACTGTTGAGAAGCTTGTCGGAGTACTTGTTCACAAGGATGCCGTGCGCGGCGTCGAGCAGCTGTTTCTTGGTTGTAGAGTCCAAGTTGTACTCGTTGCAGCGGTAGTCCTCCTTCTTCAGCAGTCTCTCGCATGCCGAGATATACTCCTTCAAGCTCGACGCGCTCCTTTCCTCCGCAAAGTCCTCAAAGAAAGTTTCTGATAGCTCGATGAACCGGGGCTCAAAATATTTGGTGTAGATGTTGAACACGTGAAGCATCATAACCGAGTCCTTGAGCAATGCCGCTTCGAACCGCTCATCCCCTGTTCGGTCATACGAGATCAGGTCGTACATGCCCCGTAACGCCCTGCCACCGGGCGTCTGGCCATCTGGGTCGTCGCGAGCGGGGAACGCCATTCTCCTGAACTGTGAAATGGTCATGTCGTTGATGGAAGGGTAGCTCTTATTTCTTAGGAGGTAGGTACGGTCCAGGTAGGTGAACGTGGACCGGATCGTCATCTGTCTCGCGTGTTAATACCAAGCCAGGGTGTAGGAACCACCTCTAGACTCACAATCTGACCATTCCACACCCTCCAGTGCTCGAGGACGCTCCTAAGCATGTCGACATCTGTATTACCAGCTCGGGACTTGATTGAACGTAGTACATCTTGGGTGAGGTGCTCCTCGCACTTTCGCCGCAAAGTCTCGTACAGCTGCAAGTCGCTGTCTTGGCCGCGCCTGCATATATCCTCCACGGCCCGAGATAGTCTCTCCAGCGGTAGCTTCGGCTTGCGCCCGCTAAAGATCTCGTACAAAGCATCGACCAATTCCTGCTCGGTCCGTTCGTAGTACTTTTCCAGCTTCTCGTTGGTCGCCGAGTGTCGAAAGTTCTTGATGACGAGCTTCTTCGCGCCCGTATATGGCCGGTAGGAATTGGACTGCGTCAGGTCAATGACCTCGGGCAGCTTGCCCTTCATCTTCGTAGACATGATATTGTGAGAGGGAGGGTCGTCGGCGCCAAACTTGAAGCGCTTCGGGCTCGGTCTGTTGGACTGCTGCTGGTGCGGGGCGACGGAACCGGAGCGCGAGACGTCGGAATCTTGGCGGGGTCTTCGGCGTAGAGGGTTATTATTGTCGTTGACCGGCGCTGCGCCGCCTGTCCTTCCCGTCGCCCGTGATGGCAAAACTCCCTCGACTGTGGGGGGTGAATTCGACGGCATGGACCGTGTGGCCCTGCAACAACTTTTGTCCAAGCTGTTACAGACGTACTATGCGCTCTCGTGGAGATGAGATGGTGTGGGCAGGGCGGGTGAACAAGGGGGGGTCGCAGGCGGCTGTCTTCTTTTGAATAAATTGTCGGGTGTTTGCAGAGAAGCTTGTTGCAGAGAGGTTGGGGAGTACAAAAGTCGTGATTGCGGGAGAGTTGTCGCGGAGTTAAACGCGGAGCTATGAACGCCATTAACAAATCACCACCACCGCGGTCGTTAGCATCATCCATTTAGCACGTCCCCTTATCGTCAGTGACAGGGATTAGATAAGACACGGACCCCACCATATCCGTACTTCTCGTCGTCACACCAAACGGTCCCACCACACCTAGGAAACACCCGATCTCATCGTCCCTGGGCACTCCACAATATCCTTCACTCAAGGTGCCTTGGGTATCTACCTTATTAAGAGAAGACTACCCTGACATTGCCTCTTGAACACAGAAGTTAGTAGATGCCGCCATAGTGTAACGTTTGGAAATGCAGGCGTGCTAGTCTTTATACAATTCTTTCCTTGGCACAGAGGCACAGAGGCACATAGGCGCAGAAGTAATCGCCTCTTCGACTCAACGGACACATGCTACATTGCCATCACTCAATGCATTGCAAAATCCGAGGAATGATTCATTATCTATGCATACGCTGCCCATCCAGAGTAGAGGACGGCAAGATTACTTATGTCGGTCGCTTGGTTAATCAGGTCGTTGACCGTCGCTGTTACACTCAACGTCTTTGAGAGCTTCTTCCGAACCACCTCCAAAGCCCGATCGGCCTCCGACGGCTCATTGACCTGCTGCCCCTTCTTACCCTTCCTACCGTCTTCCTCGCCTTCGTCGTCGTCCCTGTTGTATTCTTCTCCCTGTACTTCTCTCTGTAGTTTTGCCAAGCGGACGGGAGAAATGGACCATGAGTACAAAGGATCGTAACGAAGGACGTCGAGTATCGTCATGATCGAGTATGTCTCCTCACGCAAGGCGTGCAGTGTGAACTCACAGCAGCGCCGGAAGACGCCCTCAGTCCCAGTAATGCCCATTCCGTCCACAATGTCTCGTGTCAGCCGGAACGGGACGAGCTCTGGCACGGGAAGGATGCGACCCATCTCAAATGCGACACCCAGGTCGATATGCACAACCTCGCCCGTCTTGCTATCTAGCAGGATGTTGTGGCCGTGCCTGTCGCCGAGACCGAGCACATGGCCAAGCATTGAAATAGCCGCAGTTGTACGCGTGTACGCGAGGCGCTTGGCAAACCACTCATCAGGATCGACAAAGTTCTCCATGAAGAAGTATTTCATCACGGGATGGAACTTCTCTATGACTTTCCTATAAGCGGTAATTCGATGCTCGACAGTCTTGCCTTGCGCATTCGAAATGTCTTTCCTGCATTGAGAGCCCTTGAGGTCTTTGGGAAAGTACCTCTCGTGGGCTGGCATAAGAAAATCGTGCAGTGGAATGGTGTTAGGAACAAACTCGATCAGCCCAGATGCCGACGTGAGAGGAAGGACTTTGTACGTGCGGATCCCAAGGTTTCTCTGCTGTGCCGAGCGATGTAGTTTAAGAAGATCCGACACTGCCGCGAAGACCTGTTCCATTATGGCGTCTTGACGGAGATCGTCGTTGCCACCCTTGACAAGTTGGCGATATTTCTTGCCATCACTTCCGACTGCCGTGATGATCTTTGGTGCGCTGACTCCAGACGCAATTGACATTTGCGGGTCTAGCTTTGAGATGATGGGGACGTCCGAGTAGTCCATGGTCGCTGACACTTCGAGCTGCATAGTCGGGGGCGGGATCTTGTACTTGGCCAGTGCATTTTGAAGCGATTGGGCCGAGTAGACGTCCTTGAGCGCCATCTTTTGTCCAGCCTTGAACTTGTTCGAATCTCGGTCGACAGCCAGGCGATGGTAGTAAGAGCTCGTCCTGTCGATCGCTTGCCAGGTTGCCGCGACGGACTTGGCAGACTGCAGCAGCGATGCCACCTTTTCCGTGGCTTTGAGTCTCAGAACTGCCACTTGATCCTCTTTGCGGGTCTTAACCTTTGTGCCTGACCAGATCTGGTACATCCCATGGTACGGATGCTGCAGACAAATTTTGTAGACGAGCTGAATCAGGAGCTTCTGAAAGGGCGAGCTCGGCTGATCCTGTAGTCTAGAAGAGAGCTGGTTCATCAGCGTTGCAAACTTTCTCGTGGGCGTCTTGTCGAGGTGTTTCTTGACAGCCTCATTGGTAGCTGGCTCCTCGGACCGCTCCAGCCAGAGAGCCGTGAACCGTAACGCATCATTATTGTGCTCATCAGAGGCGGTAAGTGAAAGGAGATAGTTCTCCAGACTGAGTCGCACAAATTCGCCTCTCGTCTGCTCCGTGCGGCGGAGCTCTTGCTCGTCAAGTCCTAGCCATAGGCGAGCGCGGTTCAGGTGACCCTGGTATCGTTGTTTGAGATGGGGATCGCGGGTGTTCGATATGAGATCCTGAAGTTGAGAGACTTCGTCACTCTTGCCCTTGCGCAGGGTCTGCAGCCTGGCAAGATCTTTCAAATTGTCTTGGTCTTGCAACTGTTCGTCACAGAACATGGCGAATTGGTGGTAGACATGCCCAGCTTGCTGTCCCTGGCTGTTCCCTTTAAGATCTTTGAGAGCGGGTTCGAGGTAGTTTTTCTGGATGTCATGAGGTTTCTCCAATTTGGCTACCGACACCTGGTAGCCAATTTTCGACAGGAGATCTGAACGGCTGACTGGAATTGTCTGCTTCTTGAGGGATGAGTCGCTATCAATATTTTGCAGCATGCGAATGGAGTGGATCATCTCTCCATGATCCCACAGTGAGTTGGCTGTCTCAATCTTGATGGCGGCATCCACCTTGATACCTAGTTCGTCGCACGGACCGATCAAGTGCACAAGTGAGGTGGACAGATTCAGGCACTCTTGTGTTGCTTGATGGAAGCGGTAGATACCCGAGGACATCAGCATGGACCTGATTTCGATTTGTCTGGCTTCGGCTGTTGACAACGCCTGGGCGCGAACCTTGGGCTTTTGGCTGATCAAGCTTAATGATGTCTTTCTACAAGAAAGTAGGTGGCTAATATCCTCGTACCTATTATTTATTAGTTCCGACCGTTATCGCCCAGGGAGTATATAATAAGGAATAGCAAAGCGGGAGATCTAAGTAGAAAAGGAGGATAAAGATAATAGAGATAATAGAGTAAAGAAAATAAGAAAGCAAAGGAGCAAGGAACACAGGGAGTATTCGGTGAGGAACAGTAAAGCGGGAGATCTGAGCAGAAAAGGAGGATAAAGACAATAGAGATAATAGAGCAAAGAACATAGGAAAGCAAAGCAAGGAACACGGGGAAACACAGGTTTACATACCTTCCGCGCCTCATCCACTGGCCACGTCGTTCGAACTTGCCAAGCATACTCTCCAGCTCAGAAAAGTCAGCCACATTGGCAATGTCGTCAAGCTCAGTTAAAACCGCGAGAGCGCCGAGATGCTGCCGAAGGTTGGCTGCATTCAAGCCGCGACTGACAAGGCTGCGCATGGTCTGGCTGAAGCCGGCGTAAATGGCATTGCGCACAGAAAGCGTGTCAGTGGCTTGTTGGACATTTTGATACGCCTTGTAGATGGCTACGGCACAGTTACCGGAGGTTGATGGGACAGGCAGATTCCATAGCTGCAGTCGGCGTGCTGTGTGGAAAGTGTCCTCCAAAGAAGCTTCATCTCCGTCGTGGCTCTGCTGCGTCTGTGACAAGGAATGAGAGAGACCCGCCAGACCCAAAGTGCCAAGAGCTCTGACAAGACACTGGCTGTCCACCTGTGATGCAGGGTCTCTTCTCTCAATGTGACTGTCGTATTGAGCTCCTCGGAAGGCTAAGTTCTTGGAGCCGTCCTTTTCGTAGTCCAATCGAGCTAGCACACTTGAGAAATCGGGGGACTGTGGGAGGCCATAGTAGGCATCAGGATCGTCAATATTCTCAAAAATCGAAAGAAGGACTTCAGTAGAATCATCCTCGCGGATCGCAGATGATCGCCTAGACGACCGAACCGTCTGAGAGGCGGCTACCTCAGTAAACAGTAAGGCGGTCTTATACATACCGCAACGCGAGGCGGCAGCGGCAGCGGCAGCGAAATCGACATCAAGCCACGATACCCGGTCCGCGATGGATGTTTCTTGGGGAATGGACTGTGTTCTGAGGTATAATATTGTGTTGATAAGCTGCTTCTGGTTCGTCCGCGCAGCATCGTCCTCGATCTTGAGCCACTCTTTGGCGGCTTCCGACAAGTTGCGCTTGATATGGGGCTGCTTATCCAGTTGACTGTACAAGGCTAGGTGGACGATGAATGGGAATGCATCTTGGGCAAAACCTTTGACGTTCTTGAGAATTGGCACCAGCGCGCTTAGGACAATGTACTCGGAAACCGACTGCGCAAGGTGAACGGCGAGCTGTTGGACCCAATCGGAACTCTCCACATGATCCCGGAAGAAGACTTGCGAATCAGGAACAATCGGAGACAGGACAAAGTCGGAGGGAGGCGTGCGATATTGAGCCCAAGCGGAGGCCAAGTACAAGGATTCGGCCAAGGTCTGCTGGGCGGCAGAGACTAACGCTCCGTCTTCCTGCGCTGCTGCTTCTGATACGACTGCCCTCAGGGCCGATTCGGCCAAGCCTCCGATGGCAGATTCCTTGCTCTGAGTGAGTTGTTGCAGTAGACTCAGCAGTCCCTTCTCGGAGTCATTAGCTCCTGGTGCAATCCTGTTGTACTGTGATAGCTCGGACTCTTCCAAAAGTTCGGCTTGGATTTCTCCTGAAGCGGCGAAAGACCTGCCCACAACGCGGCCTGCCCAGGCAAGGTACTCGTCACTGAGAGCCAATGCATTGCAGCTCTTCCACACGAGCCCGGTGTGCCGTAGAGCCTCCTCGTCGTCGGAAATTACATCTTGACGGCCCGTCGTAGGCACAGCGAAATCTCCACACAGTAAACCAAGTGCTAGATCACGAGCTGCCTCGTTCAGGAGCTTCGACTCGCGTTCGCCATCCCTGAGAATCTCCATCAGCAGGGTGCTCTCGTGCGTGCCCTTCTCGGCGTTTCCTGAAGATCGAATTTTGGAAGCAGACAGGGTGATTAAGCGGAATGCCTCCCGTTGCTGCTCATCGGCAAAGTTGGTCGAGTCGTAGCCAGTCAGATAGGAACTAAACCATGAGTGGAAAGTCTGGGCTTTGCTCAGGGTCGCCTTAAATTGACTTTCTTGGGTTGTGCTCGACTGACTGGACTCGAGGAAAACTCTGAGAGATGCTAGAGTAGACAAGGCGTAACCAGCAAGAAAGGATGGGGTTTGCTCGAGATGGTAAGCCCCTTTCGTGATGAGATACCGACTCACACCAAGTGCGTCGTCGGCGCATTCCGAGTCCACAATGAACGGCCGGACGGATGAAAGCAGCATTTCCAGAGGATAAGCTTCCAACGCAACGGGGCCAGCAAGAGCAATCACAACTCTGACTTTGCGCAGCACGGAGCAGGCGTGAAACGAGCCCAAGGCAGGGTGGACAGTATTGAAAATTCTTCGGACGACCGAGACAACCAAAGCTGGTGTCCATAGCTCTTGGAGCTCGTACTCCGTCAGGCGACACAAATGGAACAGCTCTCTGGTGAGGTACTTCGCCCTGAACATGGGTTGTTGGTTAGGCGGTAGGGCGGTTGTCGACTGAGAGAACTGCTTCATCTCGTCCAATGCCTCACAGGCGTATTCGAAGCTCTTATCTCTAGAGAGATGCTTCTCGATGGGGTCTTCTTGATCAAAAAGATCCAGCAACAGGGCAACAATGTCGGCAAAGTTCAAGTAAATTTGATCGAGGAATGGTTCGTTGCCCAAAAGGTTTCGAACCCACGTCTCGCCGGTTTCGCCTTCTTCGCCTATAGAGATAGGCGTGCTGAGCTCATGTGCAATCGCGTATGCCATGATCTTTGTGAATCCTTGTGTCACCATGTCGACCAGGGAGGTACCCATTCGCTTGGAAAGAGACTCGACGTCCTTGTAGCTACGTCGCATGATCTGCAACGCTGTCGTCTCGGTCTGTGCTTCTCGCAGAAGGGCCTCAAGAGTCGCGAAGCCAAAAATCTCATAGGGGATGTCCTCGATTTTGTTGATAGCTGTGGCGTTTTCGTCGTTGTCGGGGGGAGCAAGCCATGTGTATAGCAGCTGGGGACTAAATATTCTGAATAACTCTTGAGAAGAGGACAGACACAGGGCTTCCGAAACCGTTTCCAGACACCGTTTGGCATACTGACTGGACTGCATGATATTCCCCGGCGTCTCGAATATGTGATACGTGCATCTCCTCAGCAGGGTTGGCCAGCGGCATGCGAGCTGGGACAGCACAAAGAGGCGGAACGCGATGCCTTCGAGGTCTTGGGAGTTGGTAGGAAGACTGTTCAGAACGTCGACGAAGATATCGTCATGCATCTTAAGTACGTAGGAGCCGAATACGTCTGGTAAAGCGGACCCGATGAAGAACTTGACGGGTAGCGTGCCGCTTTGCATGATTGACAGTAAAGTCGTTCGACAAGAGTCTAGGCCAAGATTGCTGCCATACTGTGGGTTGGTCCTCAAAAGCGCAAGCAGCAAGCTCGAGAGAGACATCTGCGATACTGGGGAAAGGAGGTTGTTGGGCAAATATTTGCTGACAAAATGATGGTACAAGTCGCCGAACATTTTGGCCACGGGTTGTTCGTCGTCCTTACAGACCGGCATGAGGCTTTGTAGAATCCTCAAGCTGGCCGAGTGGGCTACTTCGCAACAGGAGTATTCGGGCTCGCCCATGATGTCGCCTATTTTTCCAACGACTTCCATCGCGTCTTCCTCACTGATTGGCAAGTCAGACTCGAAGAGTTCTGAGATGAAGGTGCTACACAACAGGAACGCCTTGTCAGGGAGCGACAAAAGCTGTTCCATGAACACCTTCCCATTGTCTTTATGCATCGACGCACAATGGTATAGACGCTGGATAGTTTCGTGTGAGAATGCTTCCCCGTCTAGACTCATGGAGATGCTCGAGCGAGGGACCTCGGATACCGTAACGCTGACTCTGCTCTCCTGTGAATCGAAATCATCGTCCACATCCATAAGATCCTGATCCTGTCCCGAGGATTGCCGCAAGGATCTCTCTTCCACGCTTGCTGCCAGTGTCGAGACCAACCTCAACAGTGGAGCATTCTCCTCAAGACTGTTGATGCCTGTTGTGTTAAGTGACGGAAGCACCGGCCGTATTGTTCTCAACAAAAGCTCGAAACTAAGGTTGTCACTCGAGTTCGAAGCAGCACTGATGCTGGCCTCGGAAAGCTTGGCCAGGAGACTCTCGATATCCCGTGACTGGCCCGAGTTCAAGTCGACAAGCTGGGTGGCAAGGAGGATGCCTATGATATTTGCAGAGAAGAGGCTGTGAAGTCGGTCTGATGACATGGGAGCGCCTCCCTCTGACCCCTTTCTCGCCCACGAGTCGCAGAGGTCCTGCAATTCCTCGATCTTTGGGAACAGGAGCTCCAATACTAGTCTCTTTGAGGCATGAAAAGAGGCATCGTTGACTTGGACTGATTCAGAAGTGCTTGAACGACAGCTTGTGAGGGTACGTGGCTTCGATGACGGTGGTGCATCCAGCAGAAGGAGGTATCGTGTTAGGACTGCTGTGCGGTACTGTGCCTTCCAAACCTCGCAAATGGACCCTCCAGACACTGTCAAAGGTGTCGAGGTCAAAAGTCGTGAGCCACAGCAAGCCCGGATCAGGTTGGTAAGTTCATGAATCGGAGCGTGGATAGAGTAGTCGCGAGCATAGCTCCAGTCGGCTTGAAAATAATTAGATTGATGAATATCTCCAACTTATAGATTGACGTACCTGGATTCCATCTCCGGAAGATCCATCGAATAACGTGATGATTTGTGGACTGGCTTGCGTTGGGCAGCTTGACGTTTCTTAGGGACCGTAGGTGAGACATGAGGGTAATGGAGGAGTCCACCAAGAGTGCTGGGCCGTTGACGTCGGCAGTCGTGACAATGCTGTTGATGTCATCGGAAACATCGTGGTAAAGTACAAGGTTTCTTTCAAGCACAGTGTGCAAGAGTACGCTGGCGGTACGACTGGCACTAGGAAGACCGACTGCTCGAGAAGCTAGTTGCCATAGCTGTCTCCATGAGTCTGAGTTATCCGCCGACTTAACCTGTGACATTGCGGAGCTTCGCGTCCTTAGCTTTGGTGATCTTGTACAAAGTTTGGAGGGGCCCTACCTGGAGCAAGCGATCATAGCCCATGATACTACTGTGGAGTCCTTATCGCCAGCAAGGCCGGCGAGATCAATAACAAGATCCGACACTTCAACCGCAGAGAAAGTGTTCAGATCGAGGAGGAAGGGCACGAGCTGCAAGGCGATTATCCGTACCGCCGAGTTGGGTGACTGCAGTTTTTCCTGTACTCGCGTCGCCGCAGCATAAGTCTTGCGCTTTTTCCGCGGTTGCTCCTCTGGCGACTGTGATTTGTCCTTGTTGCGGCTCTTCCAAATGATTCGCTCCAAGGTGGCGAGGTTCTGACACAAAGCCCATCCTCGTTCCCCCTCCCGATTGTGTACACGAAGGCCGAAGAGCTCTAGTGCGAAATAGTCCTCGGGCAACCTCTGGGGGACAAATGTCAGATCATCGAGTTGAAGCTGGGAATGTTTGGTTCGTCGCGAGTACTCCAGCCACAGGGAATCGGCAAGTCCTATTATCTCTTTGCGGGATGTATCGTCACCCTCGAGGCATACAAGACGCTCAAGGTGGAGATGGATGATGAACATGGTTTTCAGCATCTCGTCCCGGATTGAATTGAGCATCCCATCCTGGGATACTGTGCGCGCCTGCCACCAATGGCTGATCAACGGCACAAGGTCTCTGGCCAAGCTAGCAGCCCGAGAAACGTCGTTTGCTTGGATCTCGACAAAAACTTTGTTGATTGAAGCGAAGCTCAGTTGAATCACTTGGCTCAATCCAAGGTGGCGCAGCTGCAGTACCTGGATGATCGTCTCGGATAGATCAATAGATCTTTCGTGAAGCGGCGCGTTTGGAGGGCTGACAAGGAGGTGGATGCAATGAATAAGGTCCTGTACGGTACCACGATGAATTTGACCGGGCATCTTCTGGCTGGCATTGGTGCTTCTTCCAGTCGAGAAGCCCAAAGATGCCGTGCCCGGTGCCGGGGATCCCCGTGAGCCGGAGTCTCGGTCGGCATTGTCGAGATAAACCCGCACGGCATCGACGCAGAAATCTACACAGTTCTTCCATCCGGCCGCATCAAGTGTAGCAAGCTGCTCGACATTTGCCTGATGAGAGAGCAGTGCGAGGATGGTTTTGACGTAGTCTTTCAACAGTGGCTCCACGTACGGTCCGTCTCCGGATCCAGGTGGACAGGGTAGAGCCTGGGTGACGTGATCAATGAGAGCAAGCATCGTCTTCCTCTTCAGCTTGCTGGCAGAGGCTCCATGGCCGACAGCGAGTCGAAGGGCCTCGGCGCATTTCCCTAGTCTGCCTCCCGCCCCTGCAGCCGTCGTCCGCTTGCCCCCGGTATAGGTCTTCTTCTCACTGATTGCGCATTTGAACAGAATCTCAAGTATGCGGTGGTAGTGCTTATCGCGAAGAGCGGATCTAAAACATTCGTCAACAGAGGCCAGGAATGGATAAGTGACAGGAGTCCTTACAAACTAGCCGATTTGCCCTTTTTGTCCAGGAGATAGATCAGGTCTGCCACTATAGTCAATATCTCTGGCCCTTGAGCAGACCACTATCGTCATCCCTCCGAACTGCATCGGGGCAGGTGAAGAGAGAGAGAGAAAGGGGAAAATGAGTATCGGTAGACGGAATGAGACACCAAGAGGAGGGTTTCGAAACTCACCATCCAAACCAGAAGACCGCTCCCTCAGATTGCCTCCTTCGATTAAATCTGCTGCGCTGTCAGTTGCGAACCTGAGAAATGGCAGACAGTGTTACTGACCCAGCGCATCGTTAACGGTCACATCTCCCGTCTTGATCTTTGGAGGCGCCATGGTTGTTAAAATTGGTAGGGTCTGAATGCCATCGTCCTGTGACCTCGTTAGTGATTAATTATTTTCAAATGTATCAGAGCAGAGTCAACAGGCTCGAACAGTAGATTGTAAGCCGATCAAGACCGAGGCTACAATGTACGAACCTTTCTGCCTGCTTGCCGAAAAAAAAAACCTTGTGTACACCTTTTGGTGTTGAACGTCACGAGGGTGCAGTTGAGGCAAACTTAAGCGTGGTGATTGTAGTATTAAACAGTCGCGATGGAGCTTCAAGTCCAGCACTGACACTACCACTCTCGGCGTCACGCCAAGTCTCCCAAGTCACAATGAAACCACGAGGTTATCGTTGGCTGGCATGCGGTTGACTTGTCAAAAAGTTTCAATATGTCGCGCAAGGCTCAGGTATGAATGACACTTGATGAGCTTCCAGAGAATCATTCGGTGAGACGGGGCACTTCATAGCCTGCGACAAAGCTCCTTCATAGATTCCTACCGTACTTGGAGAGCTCCTTGCGCCACCTCGGGTACCTTCTTTCCTTCAGCTTGCGACCTTGTCTGGTCCCCTGCCCGATTGCAAGTAAATGACGGCAGAAAGTCCCACCACCTACCCAATACGGACAGATCAGGTACGTCTCTTGTTGACTTCGGCACGGAACATCTACAGACGCCGCGAATTTTTCTCGACACAGCAACCGCCAATGCACCCAATTGGACACTGGAAGTCCAGGCACCCACCACCATAGACACTGGCAGCATCGACCGCCCACGCGCCTGCGGCAAGCCACACTTCAAGGTTGAAGGTCGAGCACCTCTCGTCGCTGCTGAGCTCCACACTAAAATTCCCGGCATCTCGAAAAGCGTCGCCCGCGCAGACCACTCACGACCGAACAAACGAGCAGATCCGGTCGCCTTTCGCCAACGCGACAGCTTCGCGGCCTCCCCTCATCCCATGACATAAATAGACTTTTGAGGCCATGCAATAGCGCGCCCAACACCTCAAAATGGCCGAACCGAATACCCTCGAAGCTTTGCAGGCTTTCCACCGCGACTTGGCTGCCATTCGCGATGGTCGCCCCGAAGGCGTTGACTCTTTGGACAACCCCGTTATCCAAGCCATATTCGAAAGGGAGCTCGAAAAAACATGGCACCGGCCTGCAAGAGACGAGAAGAGCCGTCAGGCTGTCAAGTCAGGTTGGTTTGAAGCTCTGTAGCTTCTCCGTCCAAACGTGTACACTGACACAGCTCCATGCGCCAGGCAAAGTTGTGATCGACGAGGAGGAATATGCCGTCAACGACGAGTTTCAGCAACTGGTTCTCAGTCTCGCGGACGAAGCCGAAATAAACGAAATCGATGCTATGCGATGCCTCTTGGATTCCGAAGATGACCCCATCGCCATCGCTCGCCCGCTGCTCGAATGCGCTTTGATCAGGGTCCACCAACAACGAAGATACACTCTCGACAGCATTCGTCTCATGTTCGAGATTGATGCGCTGGACGACGACGAGATTGATCCCGAGATTCTCAATGGTGTGCAGATGTATCTGTCCGCGACTGTCTTCCAAAGCTTGCCAGGCGAAACAGCTTCTTCGCAAAAGAGACTGATTCCAAAGTGCATGTCGGCGATCCAGGATGTCAGGACGTGGCTCCAGAAAATCGCCGACAAACTTACGGCTGCGGCCGTACTGATAAATGGCAGAGGCGGTCAAGTACCCGAGGAGATGGAGACGATTGAGTTCTCCCGCGTGAGCCTTTACCAGCAGCACGAGCTTCTTTCAATGATCCTGTGCCGCGCAATCGAAAAGAGGGATGCTGAAGTTGGCGATTTCAAGGCTTTCCTGCAGCTCTTGAGCAACGTGGACAAGTACGACATTCTTCTGGGTACGTATGACGAGTGCTTTGAACGAACTACATCCGCTAACGTGGGTTGAAGCGCATTTATTCCCCGCACTAGGTGCGTACATTACACTCTATGGCTCGACCGAAGGAGTCTCGAGCCTGACCATGGCGAGACAACTTAACCCAATGATCTGCCCGCAAGCCGATGAGACGACCCCTTGGCGCCTGGTGTATCTTCAAGCAGCTGTCAAGGCTTGGTGGCTATCAGAGTACAGCGGGTGGTACCTTGACGACTCGCTCCTCGGTGGCCTGGAAGGTGTTGATTTGGACAAAGAGGACAGACAGAGATCCAAGCAATTCTTGGAGGCTTTGAAGGATGGTGCTTTCGACTTCATCCTCTCTATTGCCGCAGACGTAAAGACGCCAGAGTGGGTCGACCCGTCAAGAATAACGATGCGCAACTGGCTTCAACGAAAGGCGCCTCCGCTCATCTCAGACTCCATCACCTTCTCAGAGGAGTTTCAGTCGTCCTTGATGCTTCAGTTAGAGGTCTTTGTTGATGCCTTCATTTCTAACCTTCCCGACGTCCTGCGGAAGCTTCGCGTGGAGGAGGACGAGCAGCGTCAGCTTAGCCAGACACACGAACAGGACCTCGACCTGGAGCGCTTCCTGGTGATCATTGCCTACGCGTACGAGGGCCGCCCCGATGCCGCGATGAACTTCTGGTCAGACCCCGATAGCAATTTGGCTGGATTCATGCACTGGGCATCACGGAGAGCCTCGACGCCGCTAGTTAGCTCGTTCTGCGAAATGCTGCAGGCCATTTCAAGTAATGAGGATTGCGCATCGGCCGCGCACGAATTCCTCTTGGATGAAGGCCACCATGCGTCTGGCAAGATGAGGCGGTCACAGTCCCTTACGTGGCACCAGATATTCAGAGAGCTTGTCTTCTTCTCAAACAAGATTAGAGAAAAGGCCCAGACTCCCCAAGCGCCATCAACATACCGGCCTGGCAGACCGACCAGCGACCAGGCCGAGGCCGAGCCGGAATCTACCATGATGTTGCAGTCATACTTGCGGCTCATCACCAAGCTCGCGTCCGAAAGCGAAGCCCCGAGGCAATTCCTGCTCAAGGAACCTAGCTTCAACCTCGTCGAGATGCTCTTTCAGCTTGCAAGCAGTCCGATCCCTGCGGATTTGCGCGCAGGTACTTTCATGGCCTTGCGTGCTCTCATTTCACGGAAAACACAAGAGGAGGCCAACATCATGTGGCAATGTCTGGAGGCCTGGATGAACGGCGCCTACATTGTGACGCCAAGCCAGCATCGATCGCCCCAGAGCTCCCCCATTGTATCCATGGATACTGTCAGCGACGACATTTGCCACGGCTTCGAAGAACCCCACGCCTTCATTCAGCTGCTGATTGCGCTCATTTCGCCCCCGGAGGACAGCAGCCCCCTGAATGATGGTTTGCCGTTCCCTGAGAATCTTGGCTCGGCGAATCGCATGCCGGGCATCGAAGTCTACGTCGACACCGTCATGGGCAAAGTTTTTGCAAACAAGGCTAATGAAGTCAACGATGTAAACCAACTGAGGATGCTTCGCTTGAGCTGCCTCGAGTTTGCAGCAACTTGCTTGGCGACATTCAACGAAAACCTCATCATCATCGCCAATGAGACGAACATTCCCATTGACTCGGCAATGGCCGCAACGGATCTGGCGACATACGTTAAGCTGCACCCCTTTGCCAGAGTCATGGAGTGGATGTTCAACGATAAGGTTATTGCTGCACTGGCCCAGACCATTCATCAAGACGCAGTGGACGTCGGCAATGCAGCGCCCACATCCCCAGTTATTCTAGGCATCCTCAGATCAGTAGAGGTTATTTCCAAAGTGTTGGATCTTCAAGCCACTTTCCTCGATCTTGTGCGTCCAATCATCAAGATGCAGTCGAATCATCGACGGGCTCCTGTGGCCAACGCCGCATACGCCTCCTTCGAGGACGGATTGGTTGGTCATCTGAGTTTGGTTGTCGACCTCGGGAACTACTGTGGCCTCGGCCATCCCGAATTGACCCTGTCTTGCCTGCGATTGCTGCAGAAGATGACGGCATCTTTCAAAATTACCTCTGCATGGTCGTCCACACCGGGCCGCAAGAGCCACCGCAACAAGGCCATTGTTGCGTTGGAGGCGAATGGTGAGCACGAGGCCATTGCCCGGGCTCTCGCCGCGGAGCTGATGACGCCGCTCGACCTCGCCGGACAAGCCGAATCACCCAACTACCTCACCAAGACTTACATACTCGAGTTCTTGTCAAGCTGCTTGGCCGCAAGCCCCAACAAGCCTACCATTGCTCACCTTCTCCTCGGGTTCACCTGCGGCGTCGACACGCTCTCGATAGCACCAGATGGCACCTTTGCCGCAAGAGATTCACTCTTTCACAGCATGTTGAGGCTTCTTCTCGAGAGCCCACACGGTGATGCCACTTGCATGCGTCACTGGCTCATTTCACTGAAGAGCAGATGCATGCGTATTTTGCGCGTATTGTGGACGTCGCCGCTATCAGCCCCGTTTATCATTGACGAGTTGCGGGACAACGATATCTTGTTCCACTTCTTGTTGCGAGAGGTCGTCATTCAACCCCAACTCCTATGGGAAGAGCACGAAATCAGCATGCCTCAGTTCCCACTTACGGAAGGAGCGCCGACGTTCATCGACTTCCTTGCCTTGCGCAGCATGAGCTTGGAGTACATATCGATGGAGCTATGCAGCATTTCGCAGAGTCGAATGCCATCCCTCAAGCGACGCATCTTCGAGGCTCTCAATGGCCAGGTTGTGGGCGAGAACAACGAACCCATGCCTATTCCCACGATTTTTGATTTGTACGACTTCTCACTACCAGACGGCATTTGGGATGAGACACTCCCTTCTCTACAGTCTTACAAGGATCTGGATCTCAGCTCATGCCTCGAAGAAGACGATCACGGCAATCCCATATACAACGTCGAACGGGCGAGGGAAATTCTGCATCTCAAGCGCAGTGAACGAAGACATGACGGCGTCGTGCTCACGGCACAAGATTTTGCGACTCTGGAAAGGGAAGAAGCGACAATCATTGACTACCTCATTTTCTCCAACCGGCAAAAGCGCATAGCATCGCAAGGTCTGGGTGTCCTCAAGACCTGGACAAGCCTGCTCCTCGTCATGGTTGCATCGAACGAGTTCAAGGGCACCACCGAAGCGTCTTTCTACCTACAAGCGCTACAGGCCATTTTGCCTGGTTTGGAGGCTTCTGCGTTCGAGCGGCCTGAGGAAGCCATGGAGCTTGCTAAGTTGGCCAGGGTGCTTCTTTTCAGACTTGATTTGACCGCGAAGCCTTCGCTTGACCGTGAGAGCCAGGCGATTGGCAGCCTGGTCAGCGACAAGCTTTACCAGCTATTCCAAATCTGCCTGCAGGCCATTGGCAAGTGGACTGGTTCCTCAGATCTCAGAGCGGTGTACTACAGCATATGCTATCGGTACCTCACGGGCATGGTAGACCAGGGACTCCTCGTTGCCGGCCGTCAGAAAACGAACAAGACTATTCAGATGTACGGGGAAAGGCTTATCAACGTCATTTGCGACGATGCGTATGGCAGCGACGCGGCATGCCAGACGGCTGCCTTTATCCTGCTCAACGCGTTGGTCAACCTCGGACGACAGGAAGATGACCAGCACATTGTCGAAACACTGAACCGGCTCAACTTTATTGGAATTCTCGTCGACTCCCTGCGGACCATTCTGCAGGACTGGAACGAGATCATTCAAACGGGCAACACGGCGCAAGAGACGTACATTGCCGCAAAGTTTGCGTTGCTCTTGCAGCTCGCCCAGACAAAATCCGGTGCCAAGTATATCTTACACGCAAACCTGTTCCGATCCATCGAGGCGTCGGGCCTCTTCGCCGCGGACCCGGAGCTTCAAATTGATCCGACGAACCCCAAGGCCCTGGAGAAGCACTACGAGCTCCTCGCAAAGGTCACGCAGGTCGTCGGCGCCGCCATTGTCAGCCGCGGCTCGAGCAACGTCCTACAGGGGCGGAGGTTCCTGACGGAGCATCGCATGTTGGTGACGCACACTCTCAAGCGCAGCGCTGGTATCGGAACCGTTGAGGGACAGGGTGCGTTGGAAGAGAATATCGAGGAGTTGGCTGAGGGCTTCATGGTCTTGATTGCCGCGACCGGCTTCCTGGAGGTAAGGATTTTGCTCACATATTCCGCCACGACTTCATGACACAGTTTGCTGATCTGTTGACAGTTTGAGAATGAGGTGATGCCGGAGCCAAAGAAGCAGGGTCCTGTTTTGTTCACCTAAGAACAACCGGGGTTGAGCCGCGCAAGGGGCAGTGTACGAGGCAGAATCAGTGGAACAATTGAGAAGAACGAGAAAAGAAAAAAAAACAAGACTTGAAGATCAGCGTGGATGTCATCTGTGCATAGAACCAGGCGTTCGGGAGAAGGTCCAAAGGGTCGGAAAGGATATGGGACACTTTGGCCGGAGGTCATACCTAGTCTCGTCGGGAAACATATTCCCCGAGGAAAGCATATTTGAATAAAAGAGTCGTGATGAGTGTAGATCTTTTGCGCATAAGTTTTACCGCCCGTGGCCTGTCCTGAGTTCATATTTCCGCGCCTGATTTCATAGTGCAAAAGACGCAAGAGGAGTTAGAAAAATGGCTGAAATGGGCTGTCATTTCGCTTCTGCTGTTCTTGTCCCTAAACAAGTGTAAGGGCTCCTCCGCTCGCCCTCCGTGAGCGCAATGCTGGTTAAACGGGTATCACAAGAAATCAATGACCAGGCCCTCCCGATGTCCCCCAAACGCACTGTAAATGCTAAAACCACGCAACCCTATGCCCCACTGCTTCCCATGTGCTCGCCAAAGATGGATGTACTGCCCGCGACTCGAAGAAGGCAGTCCTGGGTTGTGTTAAAGTTAGTGATAGAGTAGAAAAAAGAGAAAAGTCTTCAGGCTCGTTGTTTCCCCTTGCGGCTTGCTGTCATCAACTTGAGCTCCAGAGGCCAGAAGCCCTTTGTCTTGCTTGTGTACTCGTTGCGGTCCTTGGTTTCGACTTTTTGTCGGCAGATCGGGCACTTATTCTTAGTGGCGTCGACGTTCAATGCAGAATGCAGGCACTCGGAACAGAAAAGGTGACCTGCTAAGCATTAGTGCGATTTCCAAGTGGTACAGCGTAGGTTCGCACATACCGCAGTGTGTTACTGTCAACGCAGTGACATCGTCCATGCAGATGACACACTGAAAGGCTGAGAGCTTGACCCTGTTGTCTTCCTTGGGCACTTTCACCTCCTCTGGCGCCTCATTAGAGCCTGCCAGATCAATGATGTCCTCATCCTTATCTTTGCCCTTCTTCGATTCTTCCTTTTCCTCGGCAAAGGGATCGTCGTCTATAACTAGGGTATTGGTTGCTGTTTGAGTGCGCGTGCCCTGGGGTTGTGATGTCCGCCGCCTTTTCGGAGCAGCAGAACCTCGAGACGGTGCAGATGAGGGCGCTGCTCTCTTTCGCGATGTGGGCGCTGCGATCTCCTCCGGCTCGGGGTCGTGGTCGGAACTGAGTATTGTGGAGGCTCTCCGGCGAGTCTGTACAGGCATTGTGGCTGGTGGTTGCTCGTCGTCTGAGCTTACGAACAGCGATTCTTCCACCTCGTTCTCGAAAAGAGTAAGATTTCCCGTCGGTGCTCGTCCTACAGGTGGCGCGGCGGGAGTGTTATTGCTACTGTTCCTGGTGAAGAGGCGGTTTGGTCGCAGCGCCGTGTCCGGAGGACAGCGATGGGGAGGGTTTTGTAGGTTCGATGACTGATTTGCTTGGTGGGTGCCTTGAAAGGCTTGAGCTTGCTGAGGGTACGAGGATGGCGAAGAGAAGTTCCCATCAACCAGTGCCGAAAGAAACTCGTCACTGTTCAGGTCGTGGCCAGGCGTCTGCGGGGCGCCGTTAGGGAAAGGCGCTGTCGCGTCGAAATGTGAGAAATCCAGGTTGGCGGCAAAGTCTGAAAAAGAGGGTAAAGCTTGTAGGTGCTGGGTGTTGTCTGGTGTCAGTATGCCCCAAGGGTTGACCGCGTGGTTGCGAGACCGCTGATGTTGCTGCTGTTGCTGAGTACCGGTGGCGTTTAGAGGCCCTGAAGTCGTAGCCTGCGCGGGCTCTGAATCGTCGTCGAGCTCGATGGGTGCCTGACTGCTGCCGCCTCGTGCAGCACCCCGGTCCAGGTCTGGGAGGTGATTCACGGATTGACCAAAGGCAGTTCGCGTCGGCTGTGGCAGAGGAGGCGTAGGAAGATACGGGATGAGGCCCGGCATGGGAGGAATGAGGAAGCGCCTGTCGTCTGCAGCGCAAAAGGAACAATGTCCAAGGTCAGAGAAGAGAGGTTTGGGGATCCCAAAAAAGACAATGATTAATAGACAATGTGCATAGGAAACAAGAAGGCAGCTAATTACCTGATAGGTATCCGCTGAAAGGAGAATGAAGGTCGACAAAGGGGTTCTTCGCCATGTCGACGTGACGAAGAGAAAGTGGTGGAGGGGAGCGAAGAAGGCGGGATGACGGTTGGACGTCCTTGCTAGTGTCGTCAGGTCGTTTCGGGGTTTAGGCGTCGGTTCGGCGATTGATTTGTTGCTGACCAGTAGCAGTGGACTGTGGACGGGCAATTACTCCGCGACCTGGACGTTCTGAATGACAGCTGGAGCGGCAACTGCGGCCGTGTGTGAATCAGGTCAGCAGGGCACTTCTTTTGCAGGTGCACTGGTGGCGACTGGACAGGACATTTGAGTTCTTCCAGGTTCTCAGCGCACTTACTCATGGGCCACCTGAACTAATTAGTATTTGTGATCCGCCGGGGTCAAATCAGAGAAAAATGAGAAGGAAAAAAATCAACACGTCCTCGGATCAGGATGTGTACACTGCTAAGGGATATGTAGCTGCCTCGGGATTCCCGATTGCGTCAAGTGGCAGACGCAGCGCTCGGGTCGTCAGAGGACAGAGAAGAAAACGCGACTCGAATAAGAAAAGAAACGATTTAGGTGGTCCTCTCCATTCGTGCCTGCCTCTGCTTTGGGATCTAGGCCGGTCCCGACGTCGCACAACACGGCGACATGCAGCCAGTCAGTCGCCCAGTGTCGGGCAGCTTTCGCACAGCGCTTTCACTCATGCATTGGTGTGATACGTCGTTGAGGAGAGACCCAAGTTCCAAACTGGCTGAGGGCCTGAGACTGGTGCGGCAAGCGCGACACAACACAGGTGGCCGCCATGCCGCCATTTGAACCGGGCATCACCGACCCTAATTCTGTCCCACCGACACGAGGTGGCCACAACACACTGCACAGGAGCCAAGTGTACGCTTCTGCAGTCTCAATAATGAACAGCGTGAACGAACTTTGCCTGGTTACTTTTACTACAATACAGCTTCATGGACTTGATACATGGCTGCCCAGGATAAAATGAACCCCCGTTTAGAGGATTATGATTGCCGGAGCGGGCCGGAGGTAATCGACCCACAGTGCGGACCAAAGTGGGGGCAACGGGCGGCGACTGCCCTCGGAATCCGACAATTTAGCAGTACCTACCTAAGGTACCTTACCTCGAGGTATAGGCCACGCATACCATGATATAAATCCTATGCTTCATACCTTCACTTGACGTGCTTGCTCAGTAGGGAGATGAACGCACCGATGTTGCTGCGAAAACCAATATTGAAAACCATGAATTCACTCTGTTCAGACACTCAGGCGTTGATCATAATTGTGCGTAGTTCGCTCTTGCGCTACTACGCCTTGATGTGTCAAATCATGGAGGTCAGGTGTTGTAGCTAACCCCGCACAAGATTCTCGATTGATCGTACGAATGGGAGATTCAGATGTCGGTTATTCTGAAGCGACAGCGTCCGTGGGGATGGCAGACGAGATAGGAGACCCAATCCAACTGTCTTCGAATGTTGGGACATTCCATTTCTACGACGGGAGGTCGCTTCCCAGGCCCAGGCAGGCGGGAGACCCTGAAAGCTCTCAAGGTGGGGGCGACCAGGTGAGCTGAGCAAAGCAGGCAATCCCAACGATGCCGATTGGCTGCCATCCTTGCACCAGTACATGGACCCAAGCTAACGCGCCCCTCTTCCGCCCCTATCGCGACGCCTATCGACATGGTGACGGCAACTTTCGAGTTTTCGGCCTTGCTCCTTGCTCATCGCTCATTCAGCGTCGCACCTCTTAGCTTCTGCGCATCCTCTACTTCGCATCCAGGTAATGCTGCGCGACCACACATCGACAATACGCATTTAATACGCACCCGAACCCGCTGCGGCATGCTGCAAGGCCGATCCAGCGATGGTTGAGATTGCGAACCATGTACTGAGGAGTTCGACTGCGAGCTTCGTCCGCCTAGCTCGACACCATGCTTCCCGTCGCCTAGCATGGCGCTCTCACGTTCGGTGGCAATCCGCAATCGCTGCAGATGCCTCCAAGGCTGGAGGCATCACAGAATCACAGCAAAGTCTAGCTCGTATGATCTTGCGCCTGCCTATAGATGTTCGCCTGGTCATTCGCTAACATCTACAGTCCCGTCGCAAGCGCGCTTCAACGACATCGGTGTCCAGCACCTCAGCGCTCACGTATATAAACAGCTCTTCCCCGATGGAAACCCTCCGCCGCCTTCAGAACTTGTCGAACTATCTAAAGATCACTTGCGACGGCACGATTTGCTCGGCAAGAACACGGACAACAGCGACCCTATCGCCTTCGATCTACCAGAGCTCCAGGGACGCACATTGGACGAGCATTTCTATAAGCTGGCCGTCGATTCTGCCGAGCCGTACCTCTCTTTTGCGAAACAGTTTGCGAGGGCGAGCGCGCCACCAAAACCGCGGAAATGGGTTCGCCAGAGTGGCTGGACCAAATACTATCCCGATGGCCGAACTGAGGCGGTCGATGCGCCGGACGAGTCGATGCTCTGTTTCGATACCGAAGTAATGTGGAAGGAAAGTTCGTTTGCCGTCATGGCTTGCGCCTCGAGCCCAACGGCATGGTACGCCTGGCTGTCCCCCTGGCTGCTAGGCGAATCCGAGTCTGATCGGCACCTAATACCATTGGGCGACCCAACCAAGGAGCGTATAATAGTAGGACACAATGTTGGATACGACAGGGCGAGAATATTGGAAGAGTACGACGTGAAGCAGACTCGCAACTCATTCCTCGACACCATGTCGCTTCACGTCGCCGTGAACGGCATGTGCTCGCAACAGAGGCCGACGTGGATGAAGCACAAAAAGAGTAGAGAATTACGAGATAAAATCGCGAACGAGACAGACGATGTGCAGCTCGCGGAGCTTCTGGGCAACACAGCTTTGCGGCAAGAGGAGGAGGAGTTGTGGGTAGAACGAAGCTCGGTCAACTCACTCCGCGATGTGGCCAAATTCCACCTTGACGTCACCATTGACAAGGCCGTTCGCGACGAGTTCGGCTCCCTCGACCGGGATGGCGTGTTGAGCAAGTTGGACAACCTCCTCGATTACTGCGCTGCAGACGTAGCCATCACTCATAGGGTGTACCAGATTGTGTTTCCCAACTTCCTGGACACTTGCCCTCATCCCGTCAGCTTTGCCGCGCTGCGACACCTTTCGTCCGTCATTCTGCCCGTCAACAAGACATGGGACGCCTACATACACAATGCTGAGGCCACCTACCGAGAGCTTTCTGACGCCGTGCAGGAGCGTCTTATCGAGCTTACTGAGCAGGCCCTCGCACTCAAGGATGACCCTGAGAAATGGGGAAACGATCCATGGTTGAAGCAGCTGGACTGGTCCGGCCAGGAGATCAAGATGGTCAAGGGGAAGAAGAAGAATGACCCTCCACGACCAGCCGCGAGACAGAAGAAGCCGGGCATGCCAAAGTGGTATAAGGACTTGTTTCCGAAGAGCGATGCCCCCATTGCCATTTCTGTACGCACACGTATCGCACCTATCCTGCTTAAGCTTTCATGGGATAACCATCCGCTTTTCTGGTCGGACAAGTACGGATGGACGTTCAGAGTGGCCTTTGACAAAGCAGAGGCCTACGCACAGAAGCAAATGATTGAGTGCGATTTCTCCGACTCTGACACCGATGCGGCGCTACTGAAAGAAGAGGGCATCTTTTTCAAGCTCCCCCACAAGGATGGGCCCACGGCACGATGTGTCAACCCGATGGCCAAGAGCTATCTCTCCTATTTTGAGAAGGGCACTTTGTCGTCAGAGTACGCGTACGCCAAGGAAGCACTGGAGATGAATGCGTCGTGTTCGTACTGGATCAGCGCTCGGGATCGCATCAGGTCACAGATGGTGGTGTACGAAGACGACTTGTCGGTAAACGACAAAAAGGCGAGCTCCAAGAAGGAGAAGAGCCCCGAGGAAGTCCAAGGCTACATCTTGCCTCAGATTATACCTATGGGCACCATTACAAGACGAGCCGTGGAGAACACCTGGCTCACGGCAAGTAACGCAAAGAAGAACAGGGTCGGCTCAGAGCTCAAGTCAATGGTGAAAGCACCACCGGGCTATTGCTTCGTCGGTGCCGATGTTGACTCGGAAGAGCTGTGGATTGCGAGTCTAGTCGGAGACGCAACGTTCAAACTGCACGGTGGCAATGCCATTGGTTTCATGACTCTCGAGGGCACAAAAGCAGCCGGCACGGATCTACACTCGCGGACAGCAGGCATCCTCGGCATCACGAGGAATGACGCCAAGGTCTTCAACTATGGTCGCATCTACGGCGCGGGGCTCAAGTTTGCCGGTCAGCTGTTGAGACAGTTTAACCCCAACCTGTCCGAGCAGGAGACGAACGCTACCGCGTCCAAATTGTATGCCACGACGAAGGGTACAAAAACCAACAGATCTGTGCTCAGCAAGCGGCCGTTCTGGCGGGGCGGCACTGAGTCGTTCTTGTTCAACAAGCTGGAGGAGTTTGCGGCCCAGGAACGGCCGCGGACATTCGTCTTGGGGGCTGGCATCACGGAAGCGTTGATGCGCAGATTCATCAACCAGAACGGCTACTTGACGTCGCGCATCAACTGGGCCGTCCAGTCATCTGGCGTCGACTACCTCCACCTCCTCATCGTCAGCATGGACTATCTCACAAGGCGATTCAATATTGATGCTCGTCTCGCCATCACCGTCCACGATGAGATCCGTTATCTCGTCAAAAACCATGACAAGTACCGTGCGGCGATGGCGCTGCAGGTGGCGAACGTTTGGACTAGGGCTATGTTCTCCCAGCAAGTGGGCATTCACGACCTGCCGCAGTCGGTGGCGTACTTCTCGGCCATTGACATTGATCATGTCCTCCGCAAAGAGGTCGACATGGACTGCATCACGCCGAGCCACAAGACATCGATCCCCCACGGCGAGAGTCTCGACATCACTACGCTGCTTTCCAAGGGCGCCGAAGCCCGTCTCGACCCCGCTATCGTGCCTGACCCCTCCCACGCGCCCAAGTTTGACGGCATCGAGTACACGCCTCGCACGCCCG